CAATCATCGAACACATTACTTCGAGCGCAGACGTAACGGTTTGTCATTGTTCATAGGAAACGAATCATTAATTTTGGTGACGTCAAGATTTTGGTAATTTTCGTTACCAATACCAATCGTGCATTGTTGGGCTGGCTAAGCTCGGTGGCTTGTAAACATTTATGAAGACTCTGTACATGATAAGTCTTAAGACATCTCACCGCAACACACACTATTGTGATCGAGGGGGGACACATTGGCTAAAAAGTGCATATCTACATTCCTTTTTTGAAATAAATTCTATAATCCCTCCTTAAATTTCTGGAAATCCTTAGTAAATCCTATTAAACCCTTCTAAATCCCCAGTACATCCTAGTAATTATTTAGTAAATCCTCGTTGGAATTCTGTCTCAACAAATATTGTACGGACTGTATTTCATCAGCGCATGTTGCGATAAAAGTAGGTGCAAGCATCTCTTAATTTTGTCAGGAGCGTTTCAAACTGGCTAAATTTAATTGTACTTAGGTAGTTTGCATATGGATATTTCCCCTATTTCTTAAAAAAGAAAAGTTGAAATCATTTCCATAGGTTTGGCGACTATTTAGAAATATTGTGTCAAAATTTATCGAACGATTTATTTAATAATACATACTTCAAAACCTAGAGATATAGGTAACTACTTACAAAAATCAAAATAAGAAAAAACTACTAATACATGAATCCGAAGACAATTTTTTAACTCCAGTATTGAATTTGACCCTAAGTATCTATAACAGCTAAGATTAGTCATCACCAGAATCACCAAATACAAACTGATTCGAACTTATTAGTTCTCATAAGTGTGTTGTAGGTGAGATAACTGACAACTGATTCATTATGAGGTCTATCTACTCGCATATTTTAAGTGTGGGTGAAATATAACCTACAAAATATGTCATATCTTAATTGTCAACATTGTAACCCGCATATTAACAATATCATTAGATAACATATTTATTTCGCCTAGCATAACACTGTGGCCAGTGATTTTGTTGATAAATGATCTCAATTGATTACTAGATATAGTGGCTGTAATTCAATATAAAGATGCGTATCCACAAAAGCAACACAGAGCAAATTTTGTGTTTCTGTCGCGTTTTTACAAAAATTTTTCAGTAAGTTCAGTTGCTCATTGTTGCCGCGACAAAACTAAAAAGTTGCTCTATGTTGCGTGTTTCCGTTGGAAGAGGCAAACATGAAAGAAAAAGTTGGTAAGTCGACAAGCTTCAGTTGCGACGTCGGCGTCGGTGGAGACGGGCTGTCGCTGTTTGCTGTAGTTTGCGATTGAACAGATCCGGATGCAGATCACCTTTGTGCTTTGTATTTTTTTCATTTATAATTAAAAAAAAGTTATTATGGCGGAATTTAAATGGATTAATGACTTATTAATATTATTAATTGAAATTTAGAGTGCCTTTAGAACCCAAAAGATCAAAAATATAAATGCAGAAATACAAAGCACGATGCATGGTCTAAATTGTGTACTGTTACTGGGGCTAATGAAGTGAAAGCAAAAAGAAAAAATTTGGTTGGCCATTTCTTTAGAGTTAAAAAAATTTCCGAACTGCATTGCGAGAGAATCCTTGGTCAACAGGGACCAATTAAAACATTTTTGCTCTTTTTGATGCCTTGGTGGAGACGAAATGTTTATGTATGTTGCTTCTTGTTTCTACATTTTGGAACTGACAACAACATACAGAAACAAAAAAGTTGTTTTATATTGCTTTGGTGGATACGCATCTTTAGATGAGGATGTCGCCAATAGAGCAGTTGTTTCCCACAATATTAGCAACGTAATGTTTGATCAACATATTAACTAAACTATGTTTTTATGCTTCATTACAAATATTTTTTATAAAACTATTTTCCGAAAATCTATAAAAATACTTTAACATTCGGTTATTAACCTAGCTTTTATTGCGTTTTTAATAGTGAACGACAAAAACAGACCTTTTTTACCTAGACACTTGAATGAATAAGATATTTTTTTTTACATTTTCAATATTAACAAATGTATAAGGATAATAATTGTTTTCGAATGTTAGGTTACTACAATTTAGTATTTTTAATATTGTTAATGTTTTCACTATGTTTTATAATTGAATATGAGTTTTAGGTTCAATTAAATATTCGATTTGTAGTACGTATATCTTATTGAGTGACTTATTGCTTCTCAAAGAGTAATATGTTATCTACCTATTTAAAATGACAGTGCGGCTAAAATAACATTTATCCGTCCATAGCACTTTGTTAATAAAATTCAAGACCACTGGGGAAATCAGCTGGTTCGCTTCAATGTTCGAATATTTTGTGGTCCGTCGACCGGCGCATTCCCTGTTGCGAAGTAGGGCACCGGGTGAACGGGAGTTAAGGGGTAATTTGCTTATTTTTTTTAGGCCTTCCGGAAACGTGGTTAAAATTAATGATATTATGACTGAATGACCTTGTATATGTTTATATACATATTAGTAGTTAGTCTACTTAGGATATCCTACGGCTAATTTTGTTAAAATTTCAATTTCCCTTAACCGACTACATGCACACACATTTCCTTGAAGTTAATCAAATGTTTACGACCAGGCAACATCGTACGGCCTAATATTAGGATTCACCTTGTTGTATCAGTGCTGATACACTTCTTGGATCCGGTTACGAATAAATCCCAGACGGCTTTAACACAAAGGCCGTGGCTGAATTATTATAGGTAGTCCCTGTAATACAATTTTGGCGCTGTTATTGTTTATTAATAACAGTTTAATGGAGCAGGTGTAAGGTGTTGAAAGCTATCGCTTATTTGTTTGTAACGGTAACGGATTTTTTATTTACACTGTTGTTTTGAATTAATACGATTAGATCTTATCTGCAAACGTTTAACCCAACATTTCGCTGAAGCCGCAGATGTTGTAAATTATCAAAAAATGAACATTTTTCAGAATTTTCTTCGTAAACGAAATATATATTATTACTATTAAAATCAATGAAATAAACAACGCGTCGCTATTTAAAATAAATCACTCAGCTGTGCAACTAAAATAATAATATTGCAATTGTAAAATGAAGATTAAAATTTTGGATGATATATTTTTTAATAACAGAATTGGTTTTTTTAGTATAAAAAATAAAACTAATTATACAACAAACGCAGTTACTATTTACTTTTTAATAGCTTTAACTGTTTTTCTAAATAAAGAACCGAACGAATATTAATTATTTTTTCACAGAGGAATACTGCTAAGCTTTTCTGTATATCTAATTGTTTTCAAAGTGACTGAAGTGATCATCAAATTTTATGAGTATTTGTGCATAATCTTGATTTAAACGAAATTTCTTTGCACAAAAAAATACACAAAAGAATAAATGATATTAGATACTTATTGCCCATTGCCACAAACCCAAAAATATTCGTTAATCATCCGCATATGTGTAGTAAGCTATATTTAGAACTCTGCACTTATTTCATTCTAAGTGCTTATCTAAGTAGGAATTAAACCAACCACTAGCGGAGACGATGATAAACTGTTATCAAGAACGTCAGAATTTTGACGCCAGTGACTATTTTGCATAAGATCATTTGACGCCAAATGGTTTTTTATGTAAATATTTAATATAAACTTACTACATGGGTAAATTAATAGAAATTATCCCTATCATTCAAGTTCAAGTCGAAAATGATTCAGATTTCGAATAAAATGGGGGAGATTTTTTCTGCAAAATACAATTGTGAATCAAATGAATTTCCAAAACAGTCAGTGGCATTGAATTCTGATGTTTTTAATGACGCTGCTTCCATTATCTTCGCCATAAAATTGTATAAAAATTCAGTAAATATTTTCCTTTCTTTACCTACATTTTTATATTCCTATTTAGATAAGTACTTGAAGTAAGTACACTTATACAGGGTTGCTTATAGTTGTACACAAATTTAGTGAGTTTTTATCTTTATTTAGTTAAGTCGCAAGCTAAACTTTCTTTAATCTACGTCATATTAAGGAATATCTACGTTTTTGAAGAACATACCTAAGTACCTACCATGTAATTTGCAAATGAAACCACTTTGGACAAAGGCATATTTGGTTTAATCATCATTATGTCAAGCTCAAGATATTTGATAGCATTTATATTTGATTTTATTTATTTATTTATTTTATATTTATATTTGATATCATATAAATCCACCCTGTTTAAAAAATTACATATTTTTCAAAAATCCTAAAATATGATTTCATTAAATGTAATATATTTAAATAAGTAGATAGGTACATCAAATAAATTTGTTATAAAATATTGGTATTTTCTAACAGTGAGCCATCGAGCCCATTTCATAATTTATCACACAGTTGAATAAACTTCAAACATCTTTAAAATTACTGATTATACAAAAACATGTACGACTTTTTATTTTAAATTTAAAAATAGTGCGACAATTTTTTAAATTTCAACACTCTGGTCTATAAAGCTTTTGATCTATAATGATTCAAGGAAAATGTCTTCAGAAAACATCCTGTATAATCTGTAAGTATATGTATTTGTTTAGGCAACTCATAAAATAAATTGTTTAAAATTAAATTCTTCAGTTGCTTTCTAGATAATGAAAACTGTGTCTGGCAAAACCAATTAATTTTTTAAATACCTTTCTCAAATAAGTGCAGAAGTGTAAAATATTATGTTTTCATGGGCAAACAATGACACACGCAGTTTACCAATTCTGTAATTTACTGATTGAATTACAAAGTTGTTAACATTTTAAAAAAGAGATGTTTACAACTAAATATGCATTTCTTATCACGCTTAAATAATACAACAGAAATATTATTTTCACAAAAAGTTAATTGGTTACTCGCGTTTCATACGCAGTAGTATTGAACGGTTGTTTAGAATAGGACATTGCGTTGCAAAATTGAATAAGTATTTGTTATAGTTGCATTTCTCAATAGCAAACAATAAATAATGTATAGTTGACCTAAATATACGTTACATTTTGGAGAAATTCCTCAGTATCTGTACGCAATTCGTTGCGATATCACTGCCGAGCGTTATAAAAAAAAAATGAAAAAGGTGTGTTACAAATAATCACAAATTAATTCAGACTTATTATAAATCACCTGTACTTTTCAGATTCACCTTTTGGTAACCTTCACCCTTATAGAAATCTGCCGGGCAGGTAGCTTCACCACTACCCAAACAAACGAAATAAAAATAGAGGAAGCGAAGGATCCAGTCCCTTGCACATGTGGAGTATTCTTGAGCGGCCAGTTCAAGAAAGGGTCAAAGGATCAACCCAAGGGGGTGCCAGTGTTAACACAGGAAATGGACACCCCTTTTTTTAATAATGCGGTGGGAAATCGACAGTGCGTTAATAAATGCTTGGAGTTGGTGAGAATCTCATTATTTCATTATTTCATTATTTAAATGTCTAGGTACAGGAATATTTTGTAGTTACTTAATTGCGGTATTGGTTTAATTTTTTCACTATTTATTGGGTATTATTTACTTCTTCTTTTAGTATTTATAGCCAACAAGAAATGAAGTTCACGGAGTAATCTGAAACACATCTTTCACCGTTTGATGAAATGGTCAGGTCTCGTTTAGTTTTCTATTAACGGTATTATTTTCGTTCTCCAAAGGTTCCCATTGAATTATATGACCCTTTTCTCAAGTGTGATAATAGATAATAAAGGAAAAAATTATATGATATATATTATGATTATATGCATGGAAGCAATAACAAAATAAATAAATGTAAACTATCGAAAACTTTTGTTAGGTAAAGTTATTTTCATGAAAATAATCAGTGATCTTTTTGGCGCGAGTTATTTAATTCATTCCTTTTTTATTTCTCATTTTTAAACGTTTGTCTATTTTTAGTCAATTGAATCAATTTTTAACCATTCATAACTCATTTCTTTAGGTAGTAAATACCAATTTCTATGGTACTTTCCAATCCGCCAGAATTGCGGATTTAAGATTTTCCGAATTAAATCCTTATATTCGTGATTAGTGTTTCATCTATAATATTCAAATTTTGAATGCTTTTCCGATTTCTACTACCGCTATAGTATTGAATTCTCCATCTTTTATACAAGAATTTTCAGATTCGGACTTCAGATTCGTAATCAGCGACCCCAAAAACCTGCGGTATCAAAATTCAGGCAAAAATATTGAATAGATAAATGTGTGACTTAAAGGGGTAAATGGGACCCTAGTCTGTAGGTGGTTTACACATTCTGAGGGATAAGTTATTTTATACAGGGTGCCTCATAATTAATGTCCAATAATTTACCACTTGATTATATTGCCAAAAATAAGATTATTTTTATTTTTTTTTATATTTTCAAAGCGGGTTGAAGGAAAATTATGAATTTTGACACTATGAACGCTCATTAAAAGTCGAAATAGATCATCATAAAATTTTTCAAATGTTTTAGTCAGGGGTGTCTCAATTGGGGGGGGGGGGGTCGTCGGCTAAAATTTGCCCCTATTACAACGCGAAAAGTTTGTTATGGCCGTCCCAAGCAAGCAAGCAAGAAGGGGGGAGGGATTCGGTTAAAATTTGTCCCAAATTTTTTACATGTTGCTATATTCAAATTTAAACAATAAAATTAGTAAAGTTTGATTGACCTTTGATTTGATTGAGTTTCCTATGACGCCCCCGCTTGGGACGCCCATAATATTATTGATGTAATGTAATAAAATGCTTAAATCCGTTTTTCTCGAAAATGGAGCATTTTATCGAAAGATATAAAGAGTACCTTTTTATAGAGGACATTAAGGTCTATCATATGTTGGTATCTGAATTTGAAAATTTCGGCAAGCAAAAAAATAGGGGCAAATATTACCCATGTTTATTTGAAAAAATATTCTTATTTTTGGTAATATAATCAAGTGATATATTATTAGATACTAATTGTGAGACACCATGTATATTTTTATAACATAACATTCGTTATTTGATCTTAGATCTGGAATTGATTCCCTCGTAGGGGTGGGTGTGGATTTAATTTGCATGTATTTCTTTCCAATGCTCAATGTTTTCTCAATTTACAAATTGTTGCTTTTCATTATAAAGGCTTATCCTCATTATTTTATACTATTTTGGGGACATTTTAGCGTTTTACTAAAAAATGACATGTAAATCGGTTTTTTGGTCTACGGATTCGGATTCAGCATCGGAAAATACATAATAGAATCTATATACTCATGTCTCTGGTACATATTTTTTTTGTGGGCTGTGCAATAACACACTGATATTTACGGGTATGAACCAAAATTCTAAGAAATGTTCTAGTGATTCGTCCTGTATATTTTTACATATAGCTCTAGAAGGATGTCAGTAATCTACAAAGCGTTAACACTACAAAAAAGAAGCATTTCTCTCCAAAATTAAGACTTTTCTCCAAATTTAAAAATATTTCTTATGTAAACATTTCAAACTTTGTTTTTGGGGTAGGTATATGTTGAAGTTTTTTAAAAAATATAAAATACCTTTAAATATCTTCTGAATAAATAAACATTTTGAAACGAATTTTTTTACACAATACATGTCTAAAATAACAATAACAAGTCTGAGTCTCAGCTCAAATCAATGGAAATGCTGGCAACAATTTTTGAAAAAGCCAATGTAAAAAATGCTTTATAATTTTACAAAAATTAGCATTTTGCGGAGATAAGGGAATACAGAGAGTAAGAGGATTTGTGAGAATGTATATCGGAAACTGTATTGGGGCACAAAGAACTCTATTTGTAAAATCATTTAAATACGTTCTACATATTCTACAAATAATCATTTTTATAAATTGCCAAATTCTTCTAAATGTAGTTTGAATTTAAGAAATAAAAAATCTTTTTCAGTGTGACATAATTTTTGAGCAAAATATCAATCGCGGCTTTTTCGAAAGATATTACGGAATATGACATTTTTTGTTAATCGATTGATTGCAAAAACATATATTCTAGATGTAATAATACAATTGATATCATGGGTTAATTTTAAAAGAGTCTTATCTGTTGTCCAACGTATTAAAAAATAATTAAATTACACAAAGTATCTGTATCTTCGTAGAGGGTCCTCTATGGAAAATTTTTATAGGAACTTCTCTTGTTATTTGAACGTCCTCTGTGTAAATCCGAGAGATTGCCCATATATTCTGGGACACCCTGTATATAATCATATGTAGACATATGTAAAAAGTTTTGTGCAATCACAATACGTAATCGGAAAAACAATTGTAGTAGAATTGAGTTGTTGCTCTTTTTACAGTTGGAAGGGCAACAAAAAAAATGTGTTGTCGGATTGTAGTCATTAAATTATAAATTAAATGTTCTTATAATATACAAGATGTTTTATTACCTACACTTACATAATCGTTTGTTTATTTTAAGCTTTGACATAAACAAAATATACTATTCTTGTTGAATAAGTTTATTTCTTTCTTAAAAAAAAGTACAAATGAAATTTGTGCATTTTATTTTATTGACAAACTAGTAGACATTAATTAAACCAAGGCTTATGCAACCATAAACCTTTTTAAATAGATAAGGAGGTATTTATATTTAAAACGTTTGTCTATTGGTCAGCCCTTTTTCTATGGCCAGTGTTTGCAAAACCGTTCTTTGTAATAAGTTGTATAAGAATCCACCCGCTTCCCAAAACTTTTTGTACCTGTTCATGTCGTGTTGTTGAATGTCTGTCCGGCCATTGTTAGGAGTCACCAGGGTGGAAATCTACTTTGTTAGGGAAATTATACCCTTTAGCGAGCTACCTATCCATTTAAGTTGTTTGATGAAATGGACGTCTGGAGTTTTTGTCCAGATGGGCAGTTGTGATTTAAATTTTTTGTGTAGGAGTATTGTAATGCAATCGGCTTAATTATGTTAGGGTGAAAAACGTGTGAACTTGAGGGGTGCTCGAGTTCCAACCGTAAAAATTAAGGTGGAGGGTAACTGAGTGAATAATGACGTTACTTAATTTTTCTGAATGTTAAGCATTTGTTTTGCTATTTGAAAACAATAAATACTAAATTAGACCAGGCGGTATCTGTTTTGGTTTGGGTGAATCGTATATCCACGGAGATTTTTGGCTTTTTGGCTTTCAAATATCACTAGAAATGAAAATTTTTCTATGCGCATAAAAAAAACGTGGGCTTAACTTTTGGCGGCACAATATGTTAAAAAAATTCGAAAAATGTCATATTTTTCTTCCTATTTAATTATGTATCTTTTCAAGAGTTGATTTTAGGCGAAAATGGAAGAGGAAAAAAATGTTTGTAATTAAATTTTTTACAATACATGACTGGTTACAAATCGAATGAATCATGATTATTATGGTAAAAATCGAAAAAATCACAAAAATGGGGTTAAAAAACAATACTTTTTAGGGAATTTTTTTGGTGTATTTAAATTGGGTGTAGGACCTTTATACTTGGCTCAAGAAAACTTCATGTTATGTAGAATCATCACACCAAATTTCATCAAAATCGGTTCGATAGATTTTGCATAATAATTTTGCAATCCAGATTTTGAAAAAAAAATTGCAAATTTTCAAAATTTTGCACAGCAAAAACCAAGGCCCTTAGATACTTGAAAATTTAATCACATATAGAAGGGCTCTCAGGCTTTCAAACTTTTTTTGTAAAATTCGAATCCGTCAATTAGGAGAGCTCTGGCGCTTGTTTAAACATTGGTTGAATTTTTGTACTTATAAACAATTAGAACTTTGTGAATATTCAATCAAATCAAATTTTTTAAAGCAGGTTTTAAAAGTTCTTGGAAAGACGCTTCTTTAAAAAAAAAACAGATCGATTGATCAATTAGTTACGTCAAAATATGACATTTTTCCAATTTTTTTAACATATTGTGCCGCCAAAAGTTAAGCCCACGGTTTTTTTTATGCGCATAGAAAAATTTTCATTTCTAGTGATATTTGAAAGCCAAAAAGCCAAAAATCTCCGTGGATATACGATTCACCCAAATATGGCTTTTGGAAACAGATACCGTCTGGACTAAATATAAATTAATGACAAATAAGACGTTTTAGATAGTTTTTCTGTTTTTGACATTTGTCACACTGCAATTTAGAGAACTAAAAGAAGATACATAAACCCCTGCGCCACAAGTATCATCCAGAAGTTGTTTTTAACAAATTTGTTTAATATTTCAACAACACAGTTTTACAACACCCGTACGTTATTAAAATATTTCGAACTTTCTTTTTTAAACGATATAGGTATAGGTAGGTACTCCAGTCGAATTAGATTATAAATCCTGAAAACTGCAAAAATTATTACCTAGTTGACATTTTATTGCATTTTATGATGGGAAGGTTATGTAGAATGATAATATCAAAAAAGTAACTCGAAATGTGAAAAATGACTGTAGGTACCTACCTTAAATTGTAGGTAATTTAATTGCCTACAACATAAAATAAGTCATGTTCCGATAGATCGTCTAGATTTTCGTGGGCAGTAAAAAAAGTGAAAAAACAAGTAAATTTGCCACTTATTTGCAATTTGCCAACTTAAATTAGGTATGTATAAAAAGTTATGGGGTGGTCAATTGGTATGAATCCCCAAAAATTAGCAACTTGTATATCATTTTCTTATATGTATATGTAAATAGTATTATTAGGCTTAAATTAGGCTGAAGATGTCAATTAAGTAAGAAATATTTATTGCAAACCGTTATAGTCCACAGTACATGCCACCCCCCCCCACCCCCCCNTGACGTGTCTACCGGTCGAAACATGCCAAAATAACAGGGTATTGAAAATCAATTACCACATAGGTAATTTTTAGTAAAATTAAATGTATATAATTAATTCAGTCAAAAAATATTGTTGTCCGACAAATTTCAAGCCGCGTTTTTTCAGTCCGACAGCTGGAAATCGGAATTTTCACGGGGTATGAAAAATCGATTACCATGTCGGACAAAAATAACACACGATAGAAAAGTGTTTTTTATAATACGGATATAAAAATATATCCGCAAATCGTCAGTCCGACAAAAAGTGAAATTTCGTAAAAAATGTGCACATGTATTTATAATTTCTAATAAGGTATTTTCATGTATTAAGCAAAATTCCATATAAATGTACAATACAGGGTGTTTCAGAAAGACCTCCCGTAAATACAGGGGGTGATGACGACAAAAAATAAGAATTTTTTGTCATATGAACTATATGTCTATCTCCTCTTGTTTTCGAGATACAGAGCGACAAAATAAATTTTTTTAAATAACATTTTTATTAACATTTCCAAACGATGCGAAATATTTTTATGAAATTTGGTATTCCGAGGTTTTTAAGGATGCCAAATACGATGGTCTAATTATTTTTTGTATATTTCATAGAGGGCGCTAGTTATGCTACAATCCTATTACGTATTAAGTTCTACTTTTTTTTAAGGTTAGGTTTTTTACCATTCGGACCCCGATTTCTAATATACAATTTTATTTTCTAAAAATAATGTACTCTTGTTAGAACTTCCTAATGTGGACGATTTTCGAGAACAAAGGCTTTTAATTAAATTCTTACAAAATTACGGTGTATAAAATAAGTGACTTTTCTCAAAGCTCAAACTTACTTTGAGAAAAGTCACTTATTTTATAGTGTAATATTGTAAGAGTTTAATTAAAAGCCTTTTTTCACGAAAATCGTCCACATTAGGAAGTTCTAACAATAGTACATTGTTTTTAGAAAATAAAATTGTACATTAGAAGTTGGAGCCCGAATGGTAAAAAACCTAACCTTAAAAAATACAGAAAAAATAATTAGACTAGCGTATTTGGCACCCTTAAAAACCCCGGACTACCTTTCATAAGAATATTTCGCACCGTTTGGAAATTTTCATAAATGTTATTTAAAAATTTTTATTTTGTCTCTGTATCTTGAAAACAAGAGGAGATAGACATATAGTTCATAAGACAAAAAATTCTCATTTTTTGTCGTACTATCGTTTTATTCTTGTAATTATTGTAAATCTCTATATGCTCAATTTAGCCAAATAAATATCGAGAAAAGAATTAAACGATTTCAAAAAAGTATGTATGGTGTAAAAAAAATTATGCACAAAAGATTTGGGATTTTCTTTTAGAAAACTGGGAAAATTTTTGTAAAGAAAAATAACAAACGTGAATGAAAACTTGAAAGAGAAAAAAGGATTTTTATATCAAGTATAATATTAATTTATTTAGAAATAATGTATTATGCACTAAGATAGTAGGTATTAATCGCCTCAAAAATAACTTCATTTCTTTATAACTTTTAAATTTTTAAGCATAAAATAAGCAATATTATAATTATTTATTTGAAACAAATAATAATTTACATAATAATAATTAATAACCATTTATAAATGTGAAATTTTTGGAGTGAAAAAATTAAATTTCATCACGATTATTGATTTATTGATTTTTTAATAATTTGCGGACATTAAATCGTCGGACACTTATATCACTATTTTGTACAGTAAATTTAAAAGTGGAAAAAATGAAAATTAGATATGTGGTAATCGATTTTTCATACCCCGTGAAAATTCCGATTTCCAGCTGTCGGACTGAAAAAACGCGACTTGAAATTTGTCGGACAACAATACTTTTTGACTGAATTAATTATTTACAATTAATTTTACTAAAAATTACCTATGTGGTAATTGATTTTCAATACCCTGTTATTTTGGCATGTTTTGACCGGTAGACACGTCAATGTCGGAAGAATTTCTGCCGGACATGTGGTCTTGACTTTTCAAGACCCCGGAATATTGCCATGTTTTTGGACTTTTCCGAGTGGAAAAGCGGAGGAATCGAGAAAAGTCGCGGAGGAAAAGTGTGGTAGACTCGTCAAAACGAAGCTCCTCAGGAGTTATAAAGTATGTGGTAATCAACTTTCTAGAGGGGGCCTGTACTGTGGACTATTAAAAAGTTATTTGAACTATTACTATTTTTGCTGGAAATGTATCACTTTTGATTACGATTAAAAAATATAAAAAAAATAAAGAACTAAACTTTGTTTTAGTAACCAGCAATTTTTATATAAAAGGGCATTAAATTGAAAATGAGATAAATATTTCGGAAAAAAAATTGAAAGTTATTGAAAAGAAAACGTTAAATTTAAATCTGAAAAATTTTAAAAACTAATAAAAAATCATATTCAATGTGAATTTTTGAAGAACTAAAAATGTAGGTATGTAATATAATTTATCGGTTCATCAAATCTTATAAGTACCGTATGTTCCAAACAAAACGTTACTTTAATCAAAAATCGCTAAATCTATTTACATTTTATTCCTTGGTCAAGATTAACACAAAGTTACGGGTAAATGCCGACTCCGATTGACAATGGATTTTTAAAAATATCTTCTAAACCAGTTGAAGTCTTAGTGCCAAATTTATTACACATAACTAGTTATTGTTGGTTCATGAAACATGAAAAAGTGATGGTAGCTGAAGAAATCATTCCTTTCACAAATTTTCATAAGTCAGGTGTCATTAAAAAAATTTATCATGATGTTACATTACACCCAGTATTAGCACATCAAGAAGGGATGTTTTTCATCAGATATCAATAATTTTTTCATGTTACATAGTAAAACTCTATCCTCTAAAAAAGAGATACAAATTTGAAAATGTTTTAACTACGAAAAAGGTTTTCCTTGTGACTCCGTATAACTGTGGGCACTACAGCCAAATTTGGAATAGAAATTTCCACTAGTTGAAGATATTACAAGAAAAAACATCATCGACAAGTCATCTTCATACTGTTACATTTGGTATAGTATTTCCGAAATCAGTTAAACATGTATAAAAACACCTAGCAATAAAATTTAATGAGTTTCATAGGCGCCCCTAAAAAGTTTTCTGCTAAAGGTAAACAAATTAATTATAATGATTTGTATATAATGTGTAGAAAATTTCTATTATACCTGTATGTTCATTTGACAAATAACATATTTTAATTTATTTATGTCCTCAAACAATTTTATTACATTTAGGGTAAATTTCGTTTTGTTCCGTTTCAAAAGGTCTCCAAAATGCCATGTTGTAATAATATTAGTACACAAAATATTTCACATATTCTTACCTAGGTGCCTATAATAAATTAAAATTAACTGATCACACCAAATTCCGTATTGCTGCACTGCAATGCTTGGCAATTTGTTGGCAAGTGAATTTATGGCCAGGTCGCCCAATGCAGCTGTATTTGTGCCGCGTTTACCCGTGCGCTCATTCTTCATCTGGGCGACCAGACCTGTATATGGGTATGGCTAAAAAAATATGGGAACAAGTTTTTCAAATATTTCAATGCTGAGTTGATGCGTCAGCGATCGAACCTGGTACATACTGCCAACTTCTTGGTTCTTCAATTGAGATCAGAAAGACTATAATTAACATGGTTCCTCATTTTTAGTTTTTTTTTTTAAGTAAGCTTTGAATGAAAAGTTCTATGGGATTATAAACAGATGCTAACATCTGGCTACCATAAGTATTGCTAATTTTTTATTTTATTTAATAGAAATTAAATAAAATTGGAATTACTTCTGGCCGAATTTTTAAGTAAGTTGTCGGTATGTACCTATATCGCACTTTTCCGTTGCCGCAAACATTTTAATTTCATTTTGTCAATAATATTTTTCGAACGCTACTACGTATTACAATCTTGAAAACCGATAAGTCTTATATAACGTATTTTTTTATGAACTTTCCAATGATATAAAATCTGCAGGGATTCCATTAAAAAATCATATCTCGGAAATACGACATTCTGTTCAGTAAAAATTTTAAAAATCCATACTTTCATAGAGGCAATTTACGCCTGACAACATGGCAGTTATCCATTCTTCTTATTTTAAATTATTGTACTGTAATAATTGTAGAGATTAACATAAAAGTATGCAGAAATTTTGAATTGCGATGTAAATAACAAATAAAAAAATTAGACTTAAGTGTGTTCCACGTTTGCTATGTTTAAATGTACTACAAAATTGCTAGATATAAACAAAAAATTTTAATTACAGAAAAAGTTTTCTACACAATTTTATTTATTTTACATTTTTTTAAGTGAGTTTTTTACATTTACTTTATCATTTCTTGGTTCTCAACCATCATAAATTTCTATTCTACCCTGTTGTACTCTTCAGTGTACATGGCCTCATTAACATGTTTCTATCTTTTGGGCGGTCTAGCGCATTTTCTTATGTCCATTTGGTGTCGTTGATACCTTCTAGATGACCATAACATATTAATAATTTCCTTTTTATTGATTCCATTATGTCCCTTCTAGGTACCCTCACAATTCTTCTGATTTTTTCATTTGCACTTACATTTTCTTATTTCAGATTATTAGGCATTTACCAAGAAGTAAGGACATCTTGTGCTCTTTGGTTGACAGGGAAAATGTCCACAGAGAGAAAGCCTACCTTTTTATAAAAAACCACAGCGACAAATGGCATGGAACAAATTTATCAGCTGGAAGAGAATTTTGTTGCAGAAATAATGAACCATACAGATGTTATGGTAGCTAAAAATTCTGTAGTTATGTTTTTCAATAAAACGTTTTGTCATTAACAGTTTAATCATTTCAAGGTAATTGTTTCTCGTCTGCAAAAAAAATTATCTTAAATTTATTAGTAAGCACTATATCCATTAGTTTTTATCAACGGTTTTCGAAAAATTATAGGGTATTTAGCTAGAAGAAGAAAAAACAAATACTGAGACAGGTAAATTTTTCTTCTGAAGGGTGATGGAAACATCTTTCCAAGAATGTAGGTAAATATGCCTGCATAGATTGATTAATTAATTAATAATATACGTATTTAATAGCTTGAAAAAGTTTATAATTTCCTGAGAAATATATTATAATGATTTTGAACTCCTGTCACTTTCCACAGATTTACCAACATTTCTGTTATACCCTGTATACTGACTTACATATATCAAATGTTTTATCAATGATGGCAGAATATAGACGCCAACAGGCGTTCGAACATGATTTCAATTATATAATATGATTAAATTCTTATTGGATTCAAAGTACTAACCGGTTTATTATAAATATTTCATATGCTGTTATGCACTTTTGTGGACTTAACATAACATAAAATTATATTATAGTTAATACAGGGTGACATTTCGTTTGGCAATTTTTTATTTGTCTATTTTCATAAGACAAAGCCTCCTTCGTTATGGAAACAATAATCTTTATAACTACTCAGATATTTGAAATTAATAAAAAAATGAAACATTGCAGTTATCAAAAAAATTTCAAAATAAAGCAATAATTCTTTTTAAGAACAAGATTGGTATAGTTTTACAATTTAATTTTGGCTTGGATTATGTCAATGTTATTTAGAGAACTAAATAAAGGAGGAAGTTCTAGCACTACCTCACTATTTTAGCAATAACTTGAAAGCGAAAAAAATATATCGACCTTCGATTTGTGTATTTGTTTTCCATAATATTTTGTCTATCAAGCCATGAAAAAAAAAAAACTATATCGTTGCATTTATTTTTTTTTTAGTAAACGGAGACAATTACAAAACTTTTATCATTAGCATCGTCTACCGTTGCGCATGAAAATGATATTTTTATTCCTATATCATAAAAATAAATTTTATTAATAGTTCTTTAAAATGAGCCATCGTTTACTGAAATCGATTAAGGCATTTAGAAGTTATAACAATTTAAAAACGTCAAGATAGCGTCCTTCATATTGACGTTGCTATAGTAACAACAAAAAAAAAAGTTCAAACAAAACTTGTGAAGGGTTTAACAGTGTATCTAAAAAATGTATTTGCAACTTAGGTTATACTGGGTGGGCCACCAGTAACGCCTCGGTCGCTAGTGACCAAACGGAAAATGTTACAGAAACCTGTTTAGGTGGGTATGTGTAGGTTGATTACGGCTACATTTTAAAAATATTTTGAGATATACAGGATGTCCAGGAAAAGCGTACTATATCAAAGTTTTGTTTTTTTAAATGGAACACCCTGTATTTTACTGCATTTTTGAAAGCACCGTAAAAAAATAGTTATTAAAGGTTCTGTAGGACTTACAGTTTGTGAGATATTTCAATTTAAGTGAAAATGCAGGTATAGCGTAGAAATTTAATATTTGCAATAAAAAAATAATTTTAAGGAAGCAGTTTTGGAGGGGGGATAAGCGAAATTTCGAAAATCCGACAATTTTCTGTAACACTATAGCAGTAGCGGTGAAGTTATAAACTTCAAAATATTTTAAATCAATTTGTTTTGGTCGTATTTGTTAACAGATTTTTTACCCCATAATCGTAGCACGTCTATTTTCCTATCTACAGCTGCTCGATACCGTTAATGGATCACCCTGTACATATAATCTTTAAATTGTAGAAAATAATTACAATATTTTAGTTTTTCGTCAATTCAAATACTTTTTTGATAAGAGGTTTTGGTAGTTCACTCACTGTTTGAGGGGTGTTAAAATGTATCGCTGTTTTATCAAATTAAATTCAGTTATTTATTAATTAGTTCTGTTGCAGATTTTTGCTATGGAGAATTATATCCCCATCACTTGAGATTCTTTTTACATTTATGCGATTTTCAGATGCTGTCTATTTAATTTGAGAAAGTAGCATTACTGTTTCATGTTAGTACCTATATGTATTTAATTTCTGAATGGGACATTTTTATTACAGATTAGTTAATTCTATTTCAGGACTCGCGAATTTGATTTTAGGGAAAACTGTTGTAATTATAACTGAGAAAGCGTAGGTAAATTATTTCTTTTTTTTTCAGACGAGTATTCATTACTCGTACATTCATTACAGCTATCAACTGTGTTGTAGTCATAATATTTGGAATAAAAATTAATTTTAGCTTTTGTTAGTAAAATATAACACTTCAAAATAAGAAAAAAAGTTCATATAAAGATAGGTCGTAGAATGCTTCGTTTTTGATATTTAATTTTAAATCAGGATGTTTGATGCAGGTTAATGATACTTGACGAAGTGAATAATTCTAAGCTGGAAATAATGCAAAATATTGTATTAAGAACCATAGAATTTCGATGCCCCTGAATGATTTACAATGTGCATTTAAATCTAGTTGGCATCCTTGTCTTTCATTTTATTTGAAAAACAAGCCAATTGAGTATTTATTATATTTTTGTTTAAAATAGCCTTCAACCTAAGTAAATAAATAAAAATAAGTCCAAAAATAATCGTTACACAAAAATAGTATACGAACGATAGTACGAACTTAAAACCCTTTAAAAATTTAAAATTGCTAAGCTAATGATTTTGTTGGCTTCCATTTAATATCATATTTCTAACGAAAAATGCATATAGTGTTTCTTTTTCTGGAATGAACAGTTTTGGAGTTATTTTAGACTGGTTCATTTTTGCAATAAAATGGAATACGTCTTTTTTCTTGGAAACACCAACCACAATTATATTTACCCTATACGCCGAAATTCTAATGTTCCTTACGACGTTAGTTTCCAATATTTCCGTCACTGGTTGACAGATTTATATATCAACTATCGACAATATTTGCCCATAAATAGTTATTTTACTAAACTTCTTAAAAGATATTTTTTCTTAAATGTCAATAAACGTTTCCGTAGCCACAAAATAATTTCATCTATACAGGAACTGCAGGAATAGATTAATTGTCAAAAAAAAATGTAGAGTTTGTTCTATAAACTTTTCTGGGGGATGCGGTATTCGGGATAAAGAGTAAAGTTTGCAAAGGAAATATACAGGGAAATATATACATAAGAACCGACACAGGACAGGTTTATGTAGGGGTGTCCAAAATATTGTAATTTAACCAAACTTACCTATATACAAAGTTGGACCCCTAAAAAGTTATTAGCCCCCAAAGTGGGGCCCTAAATTTCGAAAAAAATTAATATCTCTGCAACACTTTACCGTAGAAGAACCAAATTTGGTACATGATTTAGGTTTATTACTGGTCTTCTTTGACTATGATTTAAAGTTAATTGAAGCACTACAAGGTGTCCATTGGGGATGACTCATCCCTAAAATTGTGCCAAACTTTTTTTTTATTGACCGAATTGAAAAATAGTAATATTAATTCACAGCAGAATTTAATTCTAAATTTTTTTTACTCTTGTTAAATTTTAAAAAACTTTATGGTTTTCAAGAAAAACCGTATTAACTGACACAAGATTTTAACAGTGTTCATTAGAAAATAATCAAAAAGTCAGTAGTAGGCTTTATCTTTCAAATTTGACAATTGGCCAAATAAATTTTACTTCACTTCTCTCCTAATTCTACAAAAAGAAAACAAGTACCTAGGTAGTTTAAGTAAAAAATAAAAATACGTAATAAAAATAATAATGGATATTTTTTCAACAACAATCAAAGGCAATTGTTGAAATAAAATAATTTTATTACTAACTGAAAAGTTTGAAAGTTACATTCACTGCCTACTCGAATACCGCGTCTTCCAGGAAAAACGTCAATTTTTTTGGTAATGAATCTATTCCTGCAACTTCTGTATTTAAAGTGAAATCACCCTATATAAGAACATAGTAGTACGTATGTGACATACCTCAACCTTTATTTTTATTACTTAAATACTTTTAATGGACATGAAATATATTTGACATTTTTTTAAATACAAATGACTTAATTTAAATATACCATGTAATTTCTAAAATAAAACTGATTTTTCTAAATTGCAATTAATGCTTTCTGAAACACATTTGGAAAAAGTATATGTAGATTAAAAAAAATAGGCAAAGAAAACATTATTTTCATAATCTCAAAAGAAGAGATGACAATCTCAAAAATCAAGGGATGTATATGATGCTTCGTTAAAGGAAAATTAGCAGCTAATTGTAAGAGTACTTGCCAAACGAAAATGAACAAAGAATCGCAATGGATTATGAAGGAAGTCTTAAGGGACCTTTTGCTGATATTTACCTACATTAAACTTCCCCGATTGGCAATTCTCTGTATAAATACCTACCTGAGTCAACGTCGAATCACAAAATTATCTATTGTTAAGGGATGCACCAATAAAAATCAACCTCAGTGGAAGAATAGCAGACAATATTCAGCCTTCTTATGGAATAATGGAAAATCAAGTAATGGATGGTAAATAGCGCCGAAATTAAACACAAATTTTTACCAGACTTTGAATATTGAGATAATAAAACAATTGTGGAATTAATTTTAAATCGTAAAACTCGACGTACAATTTGTATAGGTATGTAACAAAACATAAGAGTGGTTATTTCCCATAAGAAGTTAATAATTTCATATTTCACACAGTAATTATAACAGGAAACCATATTTTTATTAGAGAGTGATAAATAGGTACCTATTTTAAATTTGTGACAAAGGAATCTATTATGTAAAGATTGTCGATGAATTTAATTATATTAAGGAATAAATTTCATTTTGATATGATATAATGAAAAGATAAGCCTATACTTCAGAGCAGCAATAGAGAAAAAAGTTCGTACAAATAATGACCAAAAATGAGTTGTTGGCTGAAAAAAGATTAACAAAATTAGA